TAGGCTAGACTAACTCTTCCTCAGGCACCTGTACAGCACACATAGTGTGTGCACGTGGGCACACACACCAACACACACACACACACACACACACACACACACACACAGAAATATTGAAGTCCATGAGCTCCCCCTTGTTCAGGTCAGCTGTTTCTGTGGCTCTCTCCACCTGGTCTTGACCCCTTTGCTTATCACTCCTCCCTCTCTGCAACTGGATTCAAGGTGTTCAGCTCAGTGTTTAGCTGTGGGTGTCTGCTTCTGCTTCCATCAGCTACTGCATGAAGGCTTTAAGATGGCATATAAGGTAGTCATCAATCTCATTATTAGACAAGGGCATTTAAAGTAGCCTCTCTACTGTTGCTTAAATTGTCAGCTGGGGGACCCCAGACTGATAGCTGGGAAACCAGCATAGGACTCATCCAGACCCCCTGAATGTGTCAGTTTGGAGGTCTGGGCAATCAATGGGGCCTCTGGTAGTGGATCAGTATTTATCCCTAGTATAGGAATGAACTTTGGGGGTCCACTCCACATAGAAGGACACGCTCTCAGCCTAGACACATGGGGGAGGGTCTAGGCTCTGCTTCAAATGTCATGACTTCGAAGATCCCCCATGGAAGGTATCACCCTCCCTGAGTAGCAGAAAGGGGATGGGGTAGCCGGTTGGTGGGGGGCAGGGGAGGAGAGGAGAGAGAGGGATTGATGTTCCATGGGATTGACATGTAAAACAAGCTTGTTTCTAATTTAAATAAAAAAGAAAAGAGTTTTAAAAAGAGAAATATTGAAACGATCTTTAAAAATAAATCAATAAAGCCCAGCAATGGATCATCTGCTTAGCGAATGGAAAACTGTAGATTCAAGTGCTATTACTACACCTCAAAAATACATAAGGTAAAGGTTATTAAAACTCTTCCACAGTCAGTTTCAGTGAAATACAATCTATTGTTGCCATAAATTTCAATGAATCTTCCAGTTTCTATTTGTTTTGTGAAAGCTTTTGCTTGGCATCGAGAAGAAACTCAACTACTGATAATTTTCCATTAGTCATAAAATTTGAAATAATTTTTAAATGGAAGATTGGGTGATTTAAAAAGATGCACATTCATACAATAAGGACAGCATGGGACTGATCCAGACCCCTTGAACATGGGTGTCAGTGAGGAGGCCTCGGTAATCTATGGGGCCTTGGGTAGTAGACCAGTATTTATCCCTGACTCACAAATGGACTTTGGGAGCTCACTCCACACAGAAAGATGCTCTCTCAGTCTGGACACATGGGGTAGGGCATAGTCCCTACCTGGGATGATATGACAGACTTTTGAGAACCCCATGGAGGGCCTCGCCCTCCCTGGGGATCAGAGTGGGGATTGGGTGAAGGCTTAGGAGGGATTGGTGGGGACAGGGGAGGAGGGGAGGAATAGGGAGCTAGGACTGACATGTGAAGCAAGCTTGAGACTAATTTAAAATAAATAAATAAATAAAACAAACAAGCCTGGCGTTGGTGGCGCACGCCTTTAATCCCAACACTAGGGAGGCAGAGGCAGGCAGATCTCTGTGGGCTCCAGGCCAGCCTGGTCTCCAGAGCGAGTTCCAGGATAGCCTCTAAAGCTACACAGAGAAACCCTGTCTCTAAAAACCAAAAATAAATAAATAAATAAATAAATAAATAAATAAATAAAACAAAAAGAAGAGTGGGTCATTCATAGGCTATACTGTGATGGACTTCTTGGCAACAAAGGGTTCTACATACAATGTCCATTTTAACTCTTTTGTTTGATTGATTTTTTTTAAAGACAGATAGTGGCACAGTGGTTAGGGATATACAAGGAATAGTACCGTATGAAAATGAAAAATAATATTTTTTGTCTATGAAAAATACACACAGAGACATGCATGCATGCACATAGTATTCATTGTAAAGGATAAAGCAACATTATAGGATCGAAGAAGAATTTCTACTTACAAAACAAAATGAGGGATTCCATAAAGCTGGTGGACTTGAGACATTCCATTGGCCAACCATGCTCTAATCTGTGAAGAAAACTTGTGATTACTTACTGCACCATCCACAACACAAGATGTAAGATTGCTTGCCACTAATAAACTCTATAAATCATTTATCACAAGCTCCACTAAGAATACAGACTACATTCTGTACAAGCTTGGTACAGCAAGTTTCTCACTAGCCTTGGGACCCCTGTGTCATTGTATTAATACGAAATGAGACATCGAGCATTTTCATATTGCCTCTGTTGCATTAGAACAAGATAATACCCAATAGTTAATACCTCTGGACAGAAACCAATATACCACAACCTTTAAAGTATGACAATATTAAGGACCCACAGCCTATTGTACCCCAAGTATCTCACAGATTTTTATTATTTATGTGTTTCTCTAATTGTATAGAAATACTACTGACAAGTTCATGGAGAAAATGAAAAAAATCTAGTATCATAAGGTCAGCAGGACATCAAGCTTTCATTTTCATGAAACAATTTCACCACAGTTAAATTTCAGCATACTTTAAAAATTTTTTTTCTAATATTCAGTATAGCACATGGGCTGTATTCTTAAGTCTCGTGATGATTTGCTTGTCAAAAAATGAAACACTTAGCATATCTTCCTAAGTTTTTTTCTTGCCTCCTTCCTTCCTTTCTTCCTTTCTTCCTTCCTTCCTTCCTTCCTTCCTTCCTTCCTTCCTTCTCCCTTCTCTCCTTGTCTGACTCTATTCTTCCTTTGACATTCTCTCATTCTTCCTCTATATTCCATTTTAATAAATTCAGTATCTCTATATATGAAACCCATATATATGAAACCCATTGATTCTAGTGCATGTACACCATTGTAGAGTTCAATTCACACATAGGAAACAGCAATTGTACTCTGTAATTCCAGCATTGGTCTGACCTTTCTGTAGCACTATTCCCAAGAGAGAAATAGACGTCCAGCTGGCAAAAGCAAACACATGATTTTCAGTATACACTACTAATTTTGAGCAATTACTATGATTAATGCTTTTAAAACAAAATTGTGAGGTTTCCCCAATGACTGGATCTGAAATATTTATCTTGTAATAATGCTGTGGTATTGTATTAATAGTAAGAGGAACAAGAAAACTAAAGGAGCATAGAAAGCCAAACCATAAGAACACCAAATTTGAAATTTATTACCCCTCTACAGCAAAATTTACTATCTTGAAATGTAGAAAGGCTATTTGAGAATTTATATTTATACATGGTTTCCTGGGGCTTAATTTCTATTTTCATTGTTTAAAACTGTGTGAAAGGAAAAATCTGTATTGCATTGTAAAAGTGTGTATTTATACAGCTAGAATAGTGTCATTATAATAGATCTGTGATAATTGCAGACATTAAAGAGTGGGGGGCTGCTTTTTCTGTGATGTATTTTCCATTAATGAAAGTCAAGAGAGTTGAACTTAAATATAAGTTTTAGTCCTTTGAAAATTAATTAAATATTCTAAATCGTGGACTTCAAATGCAAATTCCTGCATTTGTGTGAAGAATTTCCAAAAGTGTGAATTGCTTTAGGAATTTGAGGACAAATTTTCAGAACATCAAATATGTAAAAGCAAACAAACAAACAAAGAAAAACAATCTGTCTAGAAATACAAGCAAGGTTCCCATGGAAGATATTCTCATTTACTCTATCATATGGACCATAGTTTTGCTTGATAATTTAAGGAGAAAAGTTTATCTGGGCCAAATCACTTTATGGAAAATTACCCGGAAGTTTAAAAATATTTTTTGACCAAATAAATGCTCTTGTTGGTGATACCCCTTGATGTATGTTTCTTGAAAACCAAACTATTAGCGAAAAATGGTAGCATCTGCTGGCTAGCCCAGCACTTGGAAGGCTGAGACAAGAAGATACTGATTTATGTCTTGGACTTTTATTATATATTTATTAATGCCAAAATGCCAATTGTAATATTTTAAAGTGTTTTTGTTTTATATAAGGTTTGAAATCAGAAGATAAGGTGTGAATAAGATAAATACCTCTTACAGGGTTGTGAAAGAAGAATAATACCTTTTTGCAGTCTTGACTATTTCACACTCTGATTTTTATCAAAGAATACCTTAAGTCTCAGGTAGAATTCCACCAGAGAAAAGGAAGCATTGGACAAAGTGACCATCTCTAGCACACAGATTATGGCCTTAATGAGACATATCTCCTCAACCATAAAAGAAATAAAAACATAAAGAAAAAATGAAAACAGAACTTCTTGAGGAAAAAGAGCCTTTGTTGCATACAAAGTCTTTGTTGGAGCTTACAGAATTAATGGTGTACTCAATTTCTTCAAGAAACACCTTTCTTTAATATATATTTGATATATCTCTGAGAATTTCAAACAAGAATGTTTTTATTCCTTCTTCTCCCCAATCCTCCTGTATCAATTTCATTCTCCCTTTCCCCTTTTAACTTTCTATTCTTATTTATATACATGTGTGCATATGTGTGTGCATATTTTAATTGAAATATATTTATACCACTTCCCCTTTTCTTTGTCTAGCCTTTCTCAGAAATCTCCCTCCAAGTCTCTCAATGCTCCCTGACTCTCAAATGACCGTCTCTTTCTCTTTGTTATTGTTATATTATTTGCACAAATATACAAATATAACCCAGTGTGTGTGAGTGTGTGTGTGTGTGTGTGTGTGTGTGTGTGTGTGTGTGTGTGTGTATTTGATTTCAGGGCTGACCACATGGATTGTATACCCCATTACGGGATCTCATCACTGGGAGAGGCGATTGCTTTCTCTCCTGGCAGTCATTAGCTGCTGTTGTTCATTGTGTAGGTTGGGCCCCCCTTCAAAATTACATGCATATTGACGTTGCTGTTATTCTGGTTTGTTCAGATCCCATTTCTAGGGGTGGACTGCCTAACAGACATCCTGGTTTTCTGGTTCTTCTATCAGAAAACGTCAATGTTTGTATTGACACTTCAATATTTCATTGTAAAAATAGACCAACTGATAAATAAGTACATATATAAATTTTTCTCAAATTGGTATTCTGATATATGTCAAGAAAGAATGCTAATAAATGACTTAAAAAATAGTCAAATACAGTAATGGTTGATACTTATTAAAGTTACCAACATTTTCACAAATTATATTGACTATAATGACAGATGTCCTCCATATATTCCAGGGTTTGAAATCTTAGTCCACAGTTGGCATCTTTTCAAACATTTAGGTAGGTTGGCAGGAGTGAGTATGTGACCAGAGATCATCTGTCACTCTGCTATGAGCTTGGGGCTCAAGGTGTGAGCATTCTGCATCCAGTTCCACCCATTATTCTTTTATCTCCTACTCCTGCCTTGTCATTAGAGACTGTCAGCATCTGGAATTCTACGTCAAAAGAAGCTCATTAATTGCTTTTATCATGGTATTTTATCACACCAGCAAATAATAACTAATTCAATTGATATCAGTAAAGTTTAACCAATTTGCTTCTAAGTAAAAGAGTACTAGGCATGCTATCAGTGATAAGCACATATTAGTAAATTATTTTAGTATTCTTCCAAACACTGGAAAATGCTTTACCATAATGATGGGGGAAAGACAAGTTTTCAGACATTATAGAATATTATATTGACTGTGCATAAAATTACAGAAGCACTTTGCAAGTTAATAATGTAAAAGTCTCCTTATTATGTCCTTAACCTACTGAGGGACATTAATGTTACAAATTTCATTCTATTTTAGATATATATTTATATTTTTAAAAAGCTCATTTTCTAATGCTATAAAAATAATTTAAGTTAGAATTTATGCTAGATTCTATAGAATTTCAACAAAGTATATAATTCACCCATAAATATTCTAATTAATTTGTTTAATATTTTTCATCCTTATGTATCTTTTCTAGAGTAAAAGTCTGTTTTGTAATTATCAAAATATTAATATTTGTATTAATTTGTTTTTATATAAATGCAACTCTTAAAATGAAAACTACAGGGATATTTTGAATCTTATGGGCAACTTTTAATTATAAAAATAAAAATTTCAATTTATCTTTATATACATTGCTTGCATTAGAGAAGCACAATGATGGAATTAATGAAGTATCACCAAGTTATAAAATCTAATTAGTGCAATATTCTATGAGGAGATTTGGATATCAAGTCAGCATCACAGGGGAAAGCCACAATAAAACCCTTTCACAGTTATAGCAAAAAATTTCAACAGAAATGAAACATAAAATTGTTATTATGTTTATATGACATTATATACATTTTAAAAATAAGTAATGTTTCTTTGAAAATGAAGTGCTTGCAGTATACTGGAAAGCCACGCAGACTTCTAATAAAAACATTATGGATGTCAAGATGAACAAAAACTAAGTTGTTTTTTGCCAATTAGTGTAAGGGAATATTTTCCAGAATTGTCCCATATGCTAATTTACTTGGTTTCTCTTGCATATACTGGAGGGTAATAAAATTACACTTTCTTTATGAAACCATTGTTCAGAATAACTGTACACTGACTGTAAATATACACCCAAATTCCTGACACATCATATGTCATCTATTAATATTATCCAATGATTTTTACAAGGGATGAAAATTAATATCAGTTTTTTATGCTTTCCTATTCCATCATACTGTTCACTTCAAAGAAAAAATGGATGGAAATCTACTTAGCATTTTCATCTCAATGAAAAATAATGAACAGTAAGACTTTAAAGGGAAATTAGACTTATTCATTGACTTCATGGCATATCTTTGTTCCCAAAGAAGCATCCTCATAAATTCCTCTGAAAGAAATTCATGACCCCAAAATATTTGACTCCATCAATCTATACTACTCTGCACTACTATCTTACTAGTATTAAATATGATGAATATCTACCACATTCTTGTCAAGGTCTGTCTTAATTCAATTAAATTAATTACCAAAACTCAATGCAAAGATGGAAAGTGTCAGTTAATTTTAACCCCTAATAAGCCTGCATTAAGTTCACTGTAATGTTGGAAAGCTTACTTTCCCTCCTCCTGTTATAAACAA